GTTCATGATCAAGTGACATAAAAGGAAATTTTTGCTAAGTATATTTCAAGATTTTTCATTGGTGGCTTTGATTCAATCCCACGCAGTGGAAATGGTTTTAAGTGCTTGTTGCTTTTAACAAGCCTTTCACAGTTTAGATCAGCCGGCAGTACAACGTGTTCAGTTTCCTGTTAAGCAAAATGAGACATCTCTTTGCCGTCTTCACTTTTTTGCTTTGTGTCTCCGCTGGTAAGTAGTCACTAGATTAATGCATCCGCAATAAAACGATCATGACCGATTAAAAAGGTTTAGTACTGTGTAGCTTTAAATTACCGATCCTGATTTTTCTTTTTTGAACTTTTTCTTCCTAGTTTGCATTTGCTTCTTAGTACTAGCCTTAATTCTATTAAAACAGCTTTTCCAGGAATATCAGCTTCTTGGAGACTCCATTTAGCGAAAAATAAAAAACGCAGCCAAGCCACTAGAGAACACTTGAAACACTTTAATACAGCCAAACACAGATAGGGACATAGAAATTAAAAAGAGTCCGTAGTAACTGGGTGTCTGTATAAGGCGGGTCATGTTATTTACGTCAAAAACACCTTTTATTAGAGCAAGATACTAGAGAAATAAAAGAGGACATAAGCATCGTCAAATTGAACATCTCTGTGCTTCAAAAAGCCGTCATTCCGCGACTAAATCCGTGGAAACACTCAGAATTCACTCATCTATAAATTACTCAGTTGAAATCGTTCTCTGAATATTAACTCGTTTGATGCCCAAATAAGAAATCAACGACCACAAATTATCCAACCCGGTGTACTGTAGCGCGGGAAACATTGACATCAGCAGCGCTGTCAATTGAACATTTCTTTACCTTGAAAAAGGAAAGATCCATTACAGCACGCAGTTTTAATAATGAACTGTCCGTATTAGCGTGGTTGACTTTCTATGAGAATCTGTTGATTGACGTTTATTGGGCTAGAAAAAAAGGTCCGTCCTCCTCATCAGCGGGTGTCCGTGTTGTATTTTAATAGATAAAATGTGAGAGGTTTCGCAAGGGACAAAGAAAACCGTCCAGGATAACAGCTGCTCAGTCTGTAATATTTCAAATATTATTTCTGTTGTTTAAATCTGTTTTGCATTAAGACGTGAGGCTTTAAAAACCACTAAAACCATTTTTCAGATTTGGATAGCTCTTTTTATAAAAGTCACTACGTGCTGTTGTTAACAAATAAACATTGTTCTCGATGGAGATCGCTTTAAACCTAAACTTTACGGAGATATAAAATCTGTTACTCTAAGATAACGGTTAGCTTTATGGAAAATTTTATTAGTTGATTTTTTGAGTAGATTCAAAGGTGATAAACGGGCTACACTTTTCAACAGTAGGAAGAACGAACTGAATAAATTGTCTCTTTTTGAACATTTTAAAGGTTGTTTTTTCGGAAAGGGCTTTAACCCCACAATTTTTCCTGTTGCTGAACCTATTCCTTCTGTCGTAAGCCGTATCTTGGTCCGAAAGAAAGAAAGGTTGATTAATTCATCGTTCAAATTTCAAACTGTAAGATGAAAAAAAGAATTCATCTCAACCGCAGGGGGAGCAAATATGCATAGTTGATTTCGGATGGGATGGTTTCAAACGCCGGTGAAGATGTGATGACTTGTCCATCTGGTCAGGTTTTAAAGGGAAAGTAGACACTTTTGCTGGAAACATGACCTACACTTTCTATCTCAAGAGTTGCGCCTCTGAAAAGGAATGCCAAGACAAAAATTGCGGTCGAATTAATCCAGGGATTCCAAACTTGAAGATTAAAAAGTGCGATTCGGCTTGTTGCAAGACTAACCGGTGTAATGATGGAGCTGGAATCTCAATGGTCAGCGGCTTTACGCTGTTTACATGCGCTCCTGTAGCATTAACCAGTTCGGTGGTTTCCAAAGACTGAAGTGTAGGCTTTTAAAAAACTTCGCTAAATAACTTTTTTTAAGTTGTACTTTTGAATAGCTCTTAATATGGCTATATGCATGTCACGATAGCCTGCATGACCATGCATTAACTTTTGTTAACAAATAGTGATTTAATAATAAAGTCCATCACTTTTCACCTCCGTCTTGTCACTGTTTCCAACAAAATCTGTGGAGAGTGAAACACAAAAGATCAACTTTATTAAATATTTTGGTAAAATTGATTTTCCATTGCAAAGAGATTCAAAAGGTGAGGTTTTCAGCTAGCACTTTGTCAGCATGTGGAAGAAAAACAAGGAAATTCTCCGCTTTCTTTCTCTGTTTTCCTCGATCTGTTTTTTCGAAAAGGACCCTGCTATTAACCCCGCCATTCTGTTCTTTCCGCTTACCCTGTTCCCTCGTCGTAACCCTACAACTGTTGAAACACTGTTGTCCAATGGATTATAGTACTTCCGGAAACAATAACATCCTAACCCTCTACCCAACCCCCTTGTCCAATGTTGAATTGTTTATTGTGTCCTACAGGCTGCTTTAGCAGTGGCACAACATTGTTTACTTAGGGGTTGGGAAAGAAAGCTTGATAATTTATTCCGTTTTGAAGTAGGCAGTGTCGGAAAAACGTGAAAAATTTCGTTCATCTCAACAACAATGAAGGATATTGCAAATTGCAGCCCCTAGTTCAAAATTGTATCCAGCTTGTTTTGTTTTGATAAAAAATCTTAGCTAACAGTTTTATCTATTTTTGCTGGTAAAAAAGAAATTAACCAATTTTCAAGGCAAGGGCAAAGGAAGCCGTGCTGTCATTCACCGTTTCATGTTTGGAAATCATAGACGACCAACTCATCAAAGTACTTTGTCATTTGCAATTTAAACCCGAGCCCTCCAAGTTTGTTGGAAGCTAGTGGTGAAAAATCGATCATTTCTTGGTTAAACCTAATGAGATAGTGAAAACACCTATCCTCATGGTTTCGTTTGCTTACAGTTGAATTAACGAAGCGTGATGCAGTGATGCGTGTTTGATATATCACCCAAAAACATTGCACCGTGGTTATTTTCACATGGTATTTGATGATGTTTTTCAGCATTTCACCTAGTGAAATTTAAATGGTTTGACTCCGACCTTCTCGACGAATGAAAGGGTTAGTCACGATCAAGTGACATCAAAGGACACTTTTGCATAAAAAGTGAAGTATTTCAAGCGTTTTATTGGTTTGTTTGATTCGATCCTACGCAGTGGAGATGTGTTGGCTGTGATATCTAATTCTTTTTCGTTCTCGATCTTTTTTTATTGCAACTAAACGGCCATATTAAGACTTCCTTTCATCGTTTCTTTCTCTCATTCGAGGAAGTACAAGAATACTTCGAACCTTCGAAGTGACAAATAGCTTTTACGTTTTGCCGTTTTGTTCGGTTTTTTCTTTGCTAGGGCGTGAATTCTACACAACAAGATTTCAGCCAGTTTACCTTCATGATGTATTACAAGCATCCATCCAATCGTGCATTCAGCCCTTCTCGACTCTCAAAACTCACTTCCCCGTTTAACTGCTCCCACCTTAGGATCTGTCTCCAACATTAGATGTCCCGATTGCCGCCCACGATTCTCTTCTATTCATCCATCCATCCATTAATCGATCCACCCACCCACCCAACCATCCATCCATTCACCAACACCCCCCTTACCCTCCCATCCTCTCATCCACCCAGCCATCTAATGCTGTCCACAAGACTCTCCAATTTGTTTAAATAAAGTTGCTCAAAATTTTATTTATGGTTTTCATACACTTTATTAAATATAAAGTTGAATGAAGTTGATAATTATCCAACCAAAGAACCATTGTTGACTGTTCCTGACCCGTGATTCAGGACCCGTGGTGAGCCTGGGTCATTTGAACCCTTCTACTGGCAACATTGTATCACATGCCGCAAGCATGGATAATCGGCGTCTTAATTCGAAATGATGCCAAGAGCAAGTCAGACAGATTCCGGAATACAGAAACTTTTGCTTGTGGAATCCACTGAATCCTGAGGAATTTTGTTGACTGATCCGCAATCCTGGGATGTGGAATCCGGAATACATCTCAAGGTATCCACAATCCCACTAACGATTAGAATCCAGAAAGTTCCATTGACAAAGACCGGAATCCAGTACCTGCAGGAATCCGGAATCCACGGCGTGTAATCCAGAATCCAAGACTGTCGGCGATTCAATGTAGCAAAGGTACCAATGATGCCTATTTTTCTTGTTCAGGGTGGTAACTTGCTTATTCAGGAAGCACAATTAAAGAAATAGCAAATTACAGCCCCAAGTTTAAAATACCGTTCGTTTGTGATGTTATAAAACAAATCTAACAAGTTCAAAGGTACGGATAAAGGAGGCCATACATGCACCGTATCATGACTTGACATCCGGAAGAGCAACTCTTCACTGTGTCTTGTCACAATTTCAAATACCTCGAAGCTCGTTAAAAATAATCCAGTGCGCTTTGTGAAATAACGCAGTACTCTGTGTTTAATATGTGGTAAAACACTGCGTTCGGTGTTCGATATTTTACACAGATATATTGTAATCGGGTTTCGCGTCACGTTCGCATATACCCGTTGTAGCACAGCATTATCCTTCTCACTTCTAGAGTGAATGATGGGGGCTTCTCACGTGGTTCTAAATTTTGAGTCTGCGGATGAAATCCAAGGGTGTGACCATTCAAATGAAACCTCTTAAGCAGTACTTTCACATAGTACTTTTCGTTATTCTTAATATCAGCATTTTAAAAAATTAAATTTGAAAATTATGTCGAATATTTTTAACTTTTGCTACTTCTGGGAATTAAAAGGTTAAATCCCAGTTCATGATCAAGTGACGTCAACGAACGCATTTGCTATCTGAAAATAATTGGAGGTTTTTTAATCGATTGGCTTCGATCTAATTCCACATAGCACAAATTGTTATAGATGCTCGTCTATGAGCAAACTTTTCACACTTCGAGAGAAGGTTCCCACAGGCCATTACAAAGTATCCCTTACCGACAGTTTCGTCAGTTTGTTTCCTACTCAGCAAAATGAATTATCTGGCTTCCATAGCAGCCTTTGTTTTTGTGCTTTCTTGTATCTCCATGGGTAAGTAGAAATCGATTCATACCAATTTTTTCTCATGGCTTATGATATTGATTTGTTGTATCTCCTTCGAGTAAAAAGGTGATGACAGAATTGAAAAGAGGAACTAGAAGAGACTTTAAGTTACCGATCCCGATTCTTTTTCTTGCAAGTTCGAAATATACTTTCTTTGCACACGAAAAAAGGGGGCGAAGTGATACGGAAATGACTAGCCAAATTTGGTCAAATTTAGCCATTATGAAACACAAAAAAACAAAATTGAGAAAAATATAAAATAACTGAAAGAGTATCTCAAGACAAGAGAAGGAAAGCAGCAAAATAATAATAAAAAAAAGGCACATGTGGACAAAATTAAGGGTGCCTTTTTTGAAAACCTTCCGGTTTTTCAGTTTTTCAGAGGTTTGTTCAGTTCTAAACTTTGATATAACAGCCTTGCGAGACATACTTGTTTGTCACGAGGCTGTGACGATTTTTATTTTATTTTATGATTTAACTTACGTACGACAGTATCAGTAACGGGGGAGAAAACCGTAGACTTCTTTTTTAAACAGTTTACAGCCAGAGATCTGGCAAATTAGGAGAAGTTGTAATGTCGATGTTTCTTCGATATGGCAGATTTTCAACTATTTTTGTAGCATTGCAAGCTTATTGTATAAAGCTTTTTATCGATTATTCCGTTTTCGTTTCTGTAGAATAGCTAGGGAAAAGTTCAGGGCAAATGTTATTGGATTTGACAGTTTTGAAATTTTCCGCAGTTTGTAAGTTTAAGCACAAGAGCAGTAAGAGCGCGTTTTCAAAGAATATTTGAGTGTCTTTACATGGAGAAATTTGCCTTAGGGCTACGACCACAACCTTTAAATGGGTAAAGAAAAGATTGTAATCGGATTATGCTAGGTAATTAATAAAGGTTAATAGGTATTTTCAGGGGTCCTTTTTGCATGCACTGTGAAATAGGAATTCCCACACGATTTCATAGAATCCTTAATAAGTGTGCGGAATGCTTCCGATACATACCACCTACACTTTACACCAAAACTTCAACCCTATTTCAGTCTAATTTCAGGAATGAAGCGATATTTTTAGAAGATCAATTTTACAAGCATACTCTAAAGTTTGCGTTACTTACAAGACTCTCCATGGACTCGCCCCTGCTTATAGTAAATATCTTCTTCAAAGTTACCTCCCGGCACGGGATATCTTATAGGTCTTTAAAGATAAATCTGCTAGCCGTTAACGTGCTTTTAAGATAAGCAGTTATGGCCGTTGTGCTTTTTCTGTTGCTACGCCGCTTCTTTGGAACAGTCCTCCTCAGCATATTAGGGATGCTGGATCACTGGACATTTTATGCGCTTTTTTAAATTGATGACTCGACTGTGGTGTTTTTATATGTTACATCATCAGCAGGGGGCACAAGATAAGTCTGGGAAGACGTGTGTCGCCGATGCCTTCAAACCCTGAGCCAACCCACAAAAATTCTTCGTTTCTCTACCTTGTTTAAGACAAGAGAACTTCGTTCGTAACCCTGAAAAGCATTTTCAAAGGCAGATACGTGTTTACGCTCTAGTTACAGAGAATACTATCCATTTATTCATTTACTTATTCATATATTTATTCATTGATCTACTTAACATATTTTTTAAGGTTATGGACTAAAGTGCAAATCGTGCATGGTTGATGGCGGGTGGGATGAATGCAAAAATTATACAGACGTGATGACTTGTCCAGCTGGTCAGGATCGCTGCGCCAAAGCGAAAGCAGAAGCCTTGGTTGGAAGCAAGACGTACACTTACTATGTCAAGAGTTGCGCCTTTGACAAAGAATGCAAAGAGAAAGATTGTAGCCGAATAGGTCAAAGGATTCCAAACTTCAAGAAGATCATCAAGTGCAATGTGGCCTGCTGCAAGACTGACCTGTGTAATGATGGAGCTGGAATCTCAATGGTCAGCGGCTTTACGCTGTTTATATGCGCTCTTGTAGCATTAACCCGTTCGAAGGTTTCCAAAGACTGATGTGTAGGCTTTTAAAGACTCCACTAAATAACTTTTTTAAGTTGTACTTTTGATTAGCTCTTGATATAACTATATGCGTGTCATGATACCCTGTGTCACTATGCATTGACTGTTGTTAACAAATAGTGATTTAATAATAAAGTGACTTGATGAATCAGTGCATCACTTTTCACCTCCGTCTTGTCACTGTTTCCAATAAAATCTGTGGAGAGGGAAGCACAAAAGTTTAACTTTATTAAATATTTTGGTTAAGTTGATTTTCCATTACAAAGGTGAGGTTTTCAGCTGGCACTTTGTCAGCATGTGGAAGAAAAACAAGGAAATTCTCCCCTTTTTTCTCCATTTCCCTCGATCTGTTTTTTCGGAAAGGGCCTTTAACCCCTCCATTCTGTTTCCGCTTACCCTGTCCCTTCGTCGTAAACCTAGAACTCTTGTAACACTGTTGTCCAATGGATTATAGTACTTCCGGAAACAATAACATCGTAACCCTCTACCCAACCCTCTTGTCCAATGTTGAATTGTTTATTGTGTCCTGCAGGCTGCTTTAGCAGTGGCACAACATTGTTTACTTAGGGGTTGGGAAAGAAAGCTTGATAATTTATTCCGTTTTGAAGTAAGCAGTGTCGGAAAAACGTGAAAAATTTCGTTCATCTCAACAACAATGAAGGATATTGCAAATCGCAGCCCCTAGTTCAAAATTGTATCCAGCTTGTTTTGTTTTGATAAAAAATCTTAGCTAACAGTTTTATCTATGTTTGCTGTTACAAAGAAATAAACCAATTTTCAAGGCAAGGGCAAAGGAAGCCGTGCTGTCATTGACCGTTTCATGATTGGAAATCATAGAAGACCAACTCATCAAAGTACTTTGTCATTTGCAATTTAAATCCGAGCCGTCTAAGTTTGTTGGAAGCTAGTGGTGAAAAATCGATCATTTCTTGGTTAAACCTAATGAGATAAGTGAAAACACCTATCCTCATGGTTTCGTTTGCTTACAGTTGAATTAACAAAGCGTGATGCTGTGATGCGTGTTTGATATATCACCCAAAAACATTGCACCGCGGTTATTTTCACATGGTATTTGATGATGTTTTTCAGCATTTTACCTAGTGAAATTTAAATGGTTTGACTCCGACCTTCTCGATGGATAAAAGGGTTAGGCCCCATTGTTCACGATCAAGTGACATCAAAGGACACTTTTGCATAAAAAGTGAAGTACTTCAAGCCCTTTTATGGGTTGGTTTGATTCGATCCTACGCAGTGGAGATGTGTTGGCTGTGATATCTAATTCTTTTTCGTTCTCGATCTTTTTTTATTGCAACTAAACGGCCATATTAAGACTTCCTTTCATCGTTTCTTTCTCTCATTCAAGGAAGCATAAGAATACTTCGAACCTTCGAAGTGACAAATAGCTTTTACGTTTTGCCGTTTTGTTCGGTTTTTTCTTTGCTAGGGCGTGAATTCTACACAACAAGATTTCGGCCAGTTTACCTTCATGATATATTACAAGCATCTATCCAATCGTGCATTCGACCCTTCTCGACCCTCAAAACTCACTTCCCCGTTTAACTGCTCCCACCCTAGGATCTGTCTCCAACATTAGATGTCGCGATTGCCGCCCACGATTCTCTTCTATTCATCCATCCATCCATTAATCGATCCACCCACCCACCCACCCAAACCATCCATCCATTCACCAACACCCCCCTTACCCTCCCATCCTCTCATCCACCCAGCCATCTAATGCTGTCCACAAGACTCCAATTTGTTTAAATAAAGTTGCTCAAAATTTTATTTATGGTTTTCATACACTTTATTAAATATAAAGTTGAATGAAGTTGATAATTATCCAACCAAAGAACCATTGTTGACTGTTCCTGACCCGTGATTCAGGACCCGTGGTGAGCCTGGGTCATTTGAACCCTTCTACTGACATCATTGTATCACATGCCGCAAGCACGGATAATCAGCGTCTTAATTCGAAATGATGCCAAGAGCAAGTCAGACAGATTCCGGAATACAGAAAACTTTTGCTTGTGAAATCTACTGAATCCTAAGGAATTTTGTTGACTGATCCGCAATCCTGGGATGTGGAATCCGGAATACATCTCAAGGTATCCACAATCCCACTAACGATTAGAATCCAGAAAGTTCCATTGACAAAGACCGGAATCCAATACCTGCAGGAATCCGGAATCCACGGCGTGTAATCCAGAATCCAAGACTGTCGGCGATTCAATGTAGCAAAGGTACCAATGTTGCCTATTTTTCTTTTTCAGGCTGGTAACTTGCTTATTCAGGAAGCACAATTAAAGAAATAGCAAATTACAGCCCCAAGTTTAAAATACCACTCGTCTGTGATGTTATAAAACAAATCTAACAAGTTCAAAGGTACGGTAGGGATAAAGGAGGCCATACATGCACCGTATCATGACTTGACATCCGGAAGAGCAACTCTTCACTGTGTCTTGTCACAATTTCAAATACCTCGAAGCTCGTTAAAAATAATCCAGTGCGCTTTGTGAAATAACGCAGTACTCTGTGTTTAATATCTGGTAAAACACTGCGTTCGGTGTTCGATATTCTACACAGATATATTGTGATCGGGTTTCGCGTCACGTTCGCACATACCCGCTGTAGCACTCCATTATCCTTTATCATTATCTTCTCACGTGGTTCTAAATTTTGAGTCTGCGGATGAAATCCTGTGGTGTGACCATTCAAATGAAACCTCTTAAGCAGTACTTTCACATAGTGCTTTTCGTTATTCTTAATATCAGCATTTTAAAAAATTAAATTTGAAAATTATGTCGAATATTTTTTACATTTGCTACTTCTGGGAATTAAAAGGTTAAATCCCAGTTCATGATCAAGTGACGTCAACGAACGCATTTGCTATCTGAAAATAATTGGAGGTTTTTTAATCGATTGGCTTCGATCTAATTCCGCATAGCACAAATTGTCATAAATGCTCGTCTATGAGCAAACTTTTCTCACTTCGAGAGAAGGTTCCCACAGGCCATTACAAAGTATCCCTTACCGACAGTTTCGTCAGTTTGTTTCCTACTCAGCAAAATGAATTATCTGGCTTCCGTAGCAGCCTTAGTTTTTGTGCTTTCTTGTATCTCCATGGATAAGTAGAAATCGATTCATACCAATTTTTTCTCATGGCTTATGATACTGATTTGTTTTGAAAAGAGGAACTAGTAGAGACTTTAAGTTACCGATCCCGATTCTTTTTTTTTTGTAGGTTCGAATATGCTTTCTTTGCACACGAAAAAAGGGGGCGAAGTGATACGGAAATGACTAGCCAAAATTGGTCAAATTTAGCCATTATGAAACACAAAAAGCCAAAATTGATAAAAATATAATATAAATGAAAGAGTATCTCAACACAAGAGAAGGAAAGCAGCAAAATACCTTATTATAGGAAATGAAAGTAGTGGAAGAGGCCCCTATAAGTCCCGACCAATCAGAGCGCAGCAGATTTTCTCTCGAACAATCAGAATCGCGCATTTCACCCATGTGACTTATGTGACGTCACAAATGCCCATATTTGGGCATGGTTTGACACGTGACCCATGGAATAAAGAACACACACACACAAGAGTTGGATCCACATTCTTGGCATAGTTTTAATGACCGCGTAAAGCCCTGGGTACAAGCGGGACGTGTGTGACGCCCTAGCGACGTCACGCCCATTACAAATCTAATAGCAGATCAAGTTCATCTCCAATCCTCTCGTAGCCATAGGGATGACTGGATCGGGTGGTGACATCGATGACACGCTTGTCGAACACCAACCCATACTGCTTCACGCGCGGAACCACTTGAATTTGTTTCTGCTCTAAATCTCGTTTGAAATAATAGGGGGTGGTAATGTTCAAATTTCGGCGAGAGTCCTGGGGTGAGTCTAATTCGGAGAGAATGTTGTCTTTCATGGTCTGAAAATTGAGAATGGCTGATCCGCGGACATTGAGCGTGAAACCACGTACCTTGCACACTACTTTGCCACCACGGGTCTGGTACCCATAATTCTTGGCGCCCCCCGAAACAAACTCGGTGATGACATCGCCGTCCAATTCATCGGTCATGTCCCCCAAAAAATCCCCGGTGGCAATGCTGGGTTGACCGGGACGCCACTTGTACACCACACTATCTGTATCATAATAGAGGACTTGCTGTTGAAGGGTGTCCAGGGACTCGTAGAGCTTTAATCGAGCATGACAGGTGGTGAAAGCCGCCACAAAGATATTGGTTTTGGTGCCTTTGACGGCATTGTCGTGGACACTAGTGTAGACAGCCTCCAAAATGTCGTCGGTACAAAGGCGGAGCGTGCTGAGATCAAGGGCAGCATCGGAGATGAGATTGAACAAATCGGCGGGGTGTTGAACAGTGACAGTGGTGGGTTTGTTGATCCGCTCCCCGAATTTACCCCAGAAACTGTTCAGCATGAGCTTGGCGGTGGTCTTGCGACCGGGGTTTTTGACAATGCTGGCAATGTCCAGTCGGATGCCTTCCCGTTCCTGGTAACGAAGAATGTAGTCGCGTTTCTGTTCAAGGGTCTGACACCAACTCGGCCACCCCGCGGATTCTTGTTTGATCTTGAGCCACGTGTTCACGTAATCAGCAAAAAGACCTGTTTGGCGTTGCTCAGGGGGAAAATGCCAGACTTCATGGATCTTGATCAGCGTGTACCCCTTTTCGACAGCTTTAACCAGTTCGGGCGTGCACCAGGTGCCGCGTAGCGTGCGATCCGTGTCAGAATGAGGGCAATAGCGGGTTCGGGTCAACATGGGTTGGGCCTGCTCGGTCTGGACACAGGCACGACAGAGAGGAAACGTGAGTTTGTTGCCGCTGCGCACGGGCAGAACAGGATGGAACAATCCGGCTGGGGGAAGAATGTCGACAGTGGCTACACCAAAATAGGACTCCAGGGACTGGTCAGCAGGTTGGGTGATGATGGTTGGATGCCCAATGGGGTAAGGACAGTTCTTATTCAC